TTATTGCTTGGTGACAACAATAAAATTACGTTTATCAACCCTCTCGTACATTGGCAAAATACCAAAATTACAAAATGATAACACACAATAAATAACACTACATAAAACACTATATAAAACACCACACTGTAATAATATACAGTAGATAATTGTATCCAGATAATAACATTCTTATGGCTATACCTATGATAGCAACAATATAAACCATACTAATTATTGCACACTCAATAATACCCCCATCAGGCATCTAGCAAAGGTAATTATATACAAATAATGACCTTGATGTAAATTTTACTATGTTAGCAAAGTCCCTGTAATAACAGCATTATAGCTTATAATGATGGGTTTCAGCACTTCTTACCCAGACATAATAATGAGGTATTTATGAGTGCAAATGCAATGGAATAGAAGTTATTTTAACAGTTTGAGGATAGAAACTATTTTTAAATCTATTAGTTCTGGATTTGATCAGTTTGTATCTTTTCCCAGAGGGCAATAAGGTAAACAGACCATACCCTTTTTATGGAGTCGGTCAATATAAATGTCTCTGAGGGGGGAAGTGATAAGCCAATAGATTTCTAGCCAAAGAAAATGCAGTACATTATTATATGATGAATTAAAATTCATATACAGTAATGCTGGTTGCACTACAACAACAGCAAAGTCAAATCAAAGTTTAGGGCCTACATGAATATTTTAAAGTGATGACACAATGTTTTCATTCTTCATAGACTAAAGAATGCTTCCTGACATGTGCCTGTCAACCTTTTCAGACTCCTCCTGGTCACTCAGGTGTTAAATTCATTGATTATTTTTATCTTAATTAATCAATCTTATTAGTTAAAAATACCGTTTGCACGAGGTGACACATAATCACTTTCTTTCTACCAGAATGGAAATGTGGGAAAAGAAAAACACTATTTGAGAGCATTAAATTTCAGCTAATAATGGAAGGTCACAGATCTCTCCTGCACATCATACCTGTAAATGTCAGTTGAGACAAGGATCTGCTTTTTGGTGAGGCAATTAAGTGGACACCCTGGTGACTTAGCATTCACTGGGATATGAAAGCCAAGAATTTTTGGAGCATTAGTTCTAACTCTCAAAGCGATATAAAAAATATGCAATTATGTAAAAGATTTTATTGTTCTGATTAATGTACCTACATTTTCTCTCTTGTTTTACTGTAGAGGAAACAGTACATTTGCAGCTGCAATTGGAATCAAATGCCTTAACTGCAACAGGCCTTTTCAGGGAGGCCATGGAGATCAGTCGCATGCAGTAATGATGAAAAACATTTAATTATTTCTGTCTGTGACAGTTAGCCCCAAATATTTTTTGTTTACACGCTAGTAAATAGATGCTCCTTCAGTACTATGGCTACAGTACATCTGTCTTTTCATGGCAGTCTGAAACATGAGTGAGATGAAAGCATGTTACTATTTAGCAGAGCAGCTTTAACCAGACTCCATATAACTTTCTCATTGTGTGACATGTTCTCAGAAGGCTGAAAGCTGTGGAGGACCAGATGTTAAAACACCTGGCAGTAATCACAGCAGGGTTTTCAAACCCACAGAGCTTGGGAACATGAGATTCAAAGCTCTGGACCTGAGGTGCTAAGAGGTGAACTCGATCATGCCAAACTTTGATTGATTGATTTTGATTTATTCATTCAAGCATGTAAAACAGTTGATATGTCAACACATGTAATTTCACACATATCCAACAATAATAATCCAATATCAATTTACTTATACCTAGTACATGCTTGAACGGAGTAGGAAGAAGTTAGACTTATCTAGTCCTACCCCATGACATCATTTTACAACTTTTAAATCCTAAGCAATATCTCTAGATAAATAATTATCCTCTACACCACACAATTAATATACTACAGAATTATTACAGAGTGTTAACATTCTTACCCCACACCCACAATGTTCCATCTGATTAATCATTAAACCTGTTCTTGCATGTATCTTGATTGACACATACCTTTATACTTATGTTTAAGGAGAAGATACATAGTATAAGAGATTGAGCCTATCCTATTAGCCTCGTTTATCTTTGGGTAGGATAAGGGACCCTCAGGGGCTCGCACTGTTATCAGGGTCATTAGATGCATGACATTTGGAGTTTGGGTTTTCTACTAATGTCTCTTTGGGTTTCTTGTCGGTGCTCAGGTTTTCTCCCATAGTCCAAAGACTGGGTGTAAATATGTGTGCGTCTATTAGCCAAGCTGTACCCTTCCTTTCCTGGGATATACTCTGCTTTCCTGTGACTGAATCAAATAAATGATTTGGAACATAAAGGGATGGATGAAGAAAATGTGTAATTATTATGTATGAGTATTTACTTTATTTGTACTAGACTTAAGTAACCACATAAGAGCCACTTTCATTTTGTGTATTTGCTTCATGTGCTCATGTTTGCATTTTCTATTTATGTATTGTTTCATTTTATGTATTCTATAATTTCCTGTACATGCTTATACAGTATGTTCTTTAAACCTGTTTGCCCCTTTTGGTAATAAAGTTATTACTAGGATACTAAAAGTTATTTCTTATTTTTGCATTATATTAGTAGAAAAATAGCTATAGTGGCTGTAGTTTCATAGTACAATAGTAGCAGGTAAGGTAGTTAAATGTAATGTTAATGTTAAACAAGTAAAGTTAAATTAGCAGCTATATGGCAGCATGCACAAAAATATTCTATTTTATGTTTCTTTTTTATTTGAACATTTTGACATTGTGCAATGTTGAAAAGTTCGATTTTATATTCTGGGAATTATCGAAAAAACTTTCATTTTATTGGAATTTAATTTGCTGCAAGTTTTTTATTAAAAAACAAAACAAAACAAAACAAAAACCCAAACTCGGATCCATGCCCCTTGCTGTGTGTAACCGGCGTGGCTGGAGGGTTTTGCCACTAGTCGCCCATCATACTCCCCGGGACAGTAGCTGCTGTACATTCGTCCGACTTGTCCTTTTATCCTGCTGCCCTAGTGGAGGAGGGCAGCACCGCAGCTCTGAGTGGAGTTTCCTCTTTAGTTTCCCTGTTTGAGGGACAGGAACTCCCTGCTCTGCTTCTCTCCCCCGCCCATGATAATAACACGGCCAAAGAAAGATTCCTGCGGCCGACGGCAGAAAGAAGAACTTGCACCCGAGACGTCCGAAGTCGGACTTCTCAGTGACCAGAGGATCAACATTCCGGTTAAATGGCGCTTTAGGCGGCTCTGTTAAGGCACAAGTTTTCCCTGCTAACCAACAACTCCGGGTGAGTAGAAATGACTGTTTCTGGGAGTGTGTATCTCAGGCCAAGTTAACGACTCCACGGTTTCTTTAGGTGTAGCCTTCCCAGCACCGCCTTGTTAAAGTTGTCTGTTGAAAACGGGACGTTGCTATTTCAAACGGACTTGTGAATTATTAGCTCGCGGAGCTCAGCAGCTTGTTGCGGTGCTGAGCCGTTTTCCTGGCTCACAGGCCCGAGCTGTGACTAATCTCAGGCCACGGCACGGGGCAGGGACACGGCCATTACCGCAGATAGGCTACATGAGCACCTCCGTGGTTTCTCGCTTGGAG